AGCTCCAGAGCCGAGTCAGGGGCCCGCAGGACTCGTTCCAGGTGGAAGCTGAGGTGGTTCAATGTAGTTGAAGTTCTTGAATATTGTTGCGGTTCTGGAGCACTCTGAAGGGAGGCTGCCTTCGCTGTGCTTTGTTTTAGACTGGTCAGAGATTTTCCCCTGTGTAAAGATGTGCAGATCCCTTTATTCATGCTTTCATCCAGCGAGATTGCAAAGCCCTGGGGCTGTGATCTGTGTGAGCACGGTATAGATGTGCCTGTTTGGTTTTTCTTAACACGGCGTTAACCATATCTCAGTATTGCTTATGTCCACACTAAGATATTTCTGTTCAACAGCAGCACTCTTGCAGATGAAAATGGCTTGCATGTGCTAGGCACGTCTTAGGCCCACTCCTGCTGTGGATTATCACACTGCAAGTTAGTGTTCTCAAATCCTTGTAAAGGTAATGCTGCTTTGAACCTAACTTAGTTGTCTTCTTCCTCAGAAATCCACTCACCCAAGGGTTAACTGGATTTTGGGGTTTTTCCCCCCTGATTCTTTAATTAGAGTGTGCAAATATCTGTACTGAGCTTTGGCTCATTTAGCTTCCGTCTGGTAGAATTATCTCCCCAGGGAGACTTATGTCAGGCTCCAGTTTAATCATAGTAAATCCAAACTTAAGCACTAACAGATTTTTATTGTATAATCCATCCTGTTTTGAATTTTTTTGAGATGCTGCAGAATCAAATGCTCATATAAATAGGGCTTTGTACACCCTGATTGTAAAAATAAAACTTTGACTAAATAAGGCTCTACCTGGTTACACAGTTAAATTGAGGGAGGTGCTAAAGCTATTTGTTTAACTGCAGGTCCAGGAGTTTCTGGTTCTGATAATGGTTTATTTTCTTTAAGGATTCTAAAGTATTTTCAGACTCATGTGTCTTAACCAATTCAGGAAGTAGAGATGGTGCCATAACCAGTGTTGTCACAATTGCCTGAACAATTATAGCTAGGTAACACTTAATAGCAGTTACAGATACTGTATTATCTCACTGTTCATCATCGTGTACAAACAGTGGAAGTGTATTGTGTAACTATCACAGATCAGTTCTAGTTTTCTACTTGGTGTCCACCATATGGTGTGGTATGGGTTTGACTACACATGGTTGAAATTGTGGTTTTGATTGTTGGATGACACTGGCAGAAACACTTAACATACTAAGTTGTTAAATGGCTTTTAAATACAAAGAGCACCTGACCACTTCTTCTGGGGAGCAGGGAATGGTTTACAAAGTCAAGTCATGAGCCAGGTATTGCAATATTCTTAACTGATGGCTTTTAAAGTTTGAAGGAAAAGAACGCAAGTATCTTGTTTTCACACAGGCTGACTGGTGTGTGTCAGTGACATGCAGGGCTTCCTGGAAGAAAGGTGAAATGGGCACTGTCTTGGATTAAGTGGTACTTTTGTTTTAGTTAGGTGTAAGGATGGTCCCTGACATTGCTGTTGCTTTTTAGCAAAGTTCTGTCCAGCTGCGGTCTTGAGCAATTTCTTTTACAAGGGAATGTAGAAAACTGCATTTGTCAGCTTCTGAGTTTCAGTGGCCTGAAAGAACCTACTTAAATCAAGTCTTGGCAGTATTGTAAGTTGTCCTGCTCATAAACTTTCTAAAAATAGCTTATGCTAAACATACTGCTAAGCTTGGTTATCTCCTCATGACTTGTTAAAGTATCTATTGCTTTTCAAAGTGCATTTTACCATCAACTTCAGAGGTGGTGGGGGGAAGAGGGCAGGACTTTCAGGCATTTCTTATTACGAGTTCCTGCCATAGGATGAATTAATCCCTGTGTTACTTTACAAACGTGCTTGATTTTTTTCAGACATGTTTCATTTTTCCTAATGTATCTTTCCAGCAATACAGTTTCTATTGAATCCAGAGAAGTATCCTGTGAAATAGCAATGGAAGTTCTTGTTATTGGGCTATTATTTAATTTTTAATGCCTTGCTGAACTTTGTTAACAGCTTAAGAAATGTGTTGAACTTCATTGTTTAATAGCAATGAAGTTCATTCCATGTCTTTACTAGAGAAAAATGGATGCAGGGCTTTTTAAAGCCAGTCTTGCCGAAATAGATATGAAATAGGTATATAGCCAGTCTTGTAGGAATAGGTATATGAAGCAGCAGTTTTCTATGACCAAATTACTTTGTCTCAAGCTTAATAAAAATTATATTCTTCATTAAAAAAACCCTTATAAGCACCCCCCACCCAACA